ATCTCCTGATTCAGTCTTCTCACCATCTCAGTATAATGGAGCAGAGTGGTAAACAGCATAGTTTGAAAAACAATTTTTTTGAAGAAACTTCCTTTTCTCCCACCTGATAGGTTAAAAACCTGTTATTTTCCACTAGTGCAGAATACCTTTACTTTCTCCAAAAAGCAAGTGGAGTGCCTTCTTTCAGCAAGGAGAGGTAGAAGAGGCCATTTTCACATAAGAACAGTTTTAAGTTCAAGTAGGAATATTTCTGTCAATGACTGTCTTTCCCAAGGCTCAGCAGAATCTGATAGGAGTTTTCCTTTACTGAATTACCGGAATGGAAGAACATTCAGTAGCTGTAAAGCCTAAAGAAAAAAAATACCTGTAAACCCTGCGCTGGGTTTCTGGTTCCTAACATTGTCCAGTTTTAAAGCCACCTTCACTGCATATGAGATCCTATAAGAAAATGACTAGGAAAGAACAGCTGCCAAATCAAAAAGATGGCTTTATTAACAGTCTTTATCACAAACCATGTACTGGTTTTGTTTTAGGTAAACTCATGATGGTGGTGGGAATTTACTTTAAGGGCCCTCTCTTTGTTCCAAGTGAAATATGCGTGAGGTGAGAAAGGGCTTTGCTAAAGCTTTTACACTAGACTGATGGATTTTCTGAAAGTTGCCTTAGAAATGTAGAACTTCTTATAAAACTTACATCATAGAGCCTACCTAGTCCATTCTGTTTTAAAGTTCTTCTGCAAGTGATTGCTAGATTTCAGTCTATCACAAATGGACCCCTTACTGTAAGGTTCAAGATATTGTATTTAATTTCTTGATCTATCCCTCTCAGATTACTCATCTCCTAATGCATTCTTACTAGCATCTTTCCTGCAATCCATATTCTTTTGAGGGGAGGGTTGCTCTTGGTAAATAATTACTTCCCTCTTGTCTTAGATTCTTTTCGTTTTGCTTATATTTAGTGTTGTTTCCTTATAGAAACAAACATCTTATGTGATCAAGTTTCTAGCTTGGCCCTCAGCAGCTTAGTCACTTTATATTCTGTAGATGAACTAAAAGCTTCATCTCCTATTTCTGAGATTATCTCATTCTTGAGAGTCTTTTGAACCAAAAGAATGGGTAGTTGAAAGATATGTTAAACAGAGGAGAAAGGAGGAAACAAATTGTGTATGGACCATACACTGAATATGTGAAATGAATTTGCAGTTTGAGGACTGCAGTTATATATCTATGTGTGTATGTGTTTAAGTAAACTTTTATTGATATATACATTGAAAAATGCACAAATCATTTTTTAAAATGATTTTTCACATAGTGAACATACCTGTTTAACCTCACTCAGATCGGGAACTAGAATGTTACCAGCAACCCAGTACCTTGGTTCTTGTCTCCTTCCAGTATTAACCACCCCAAAAGGATAACCACTATTCTGATTTATAATTGCATAGGTTAGTTTTCCTGTTTTTGAAGTTTATACAGATGGGATTCATATAGTATATCTTCTTTTGTGCTTGGCTGCTTTGGCTCAGCCTTACGTTTGTTAGATTCATTATTGTTGTTACCTGTAGCAGTCGTTCATGTATTCTCATTTCTGTATAGTTTTCTATTATATATATACTATTCATTCATTTTGGTCATTTCTATTTTTCTTTTGAAAATTCTGTTTCAGTGTTATTGTTGATCCTTTGAAGGTGTCTTTTCCCCCCCTCTTCTGGCTTTTTCCTTTTGTCTTTGGTTTTCAGCACTTTTCCTATGATATTGCCTAGCTGTGGTTTGCTTTGTATTTCGTGACATTCACTGAGCTTCTTAAATTGTGACTTGAGTTTTCATCAGGATTCCAACATTGTCAGCTATCACGTCTTCAGATGTTGCTTCTATACTTTTTTCTGTCCTCCTGTTCTAGGACTCCACTTGCATGTAAGTTATACCTTTTCACCATGTTCCATTTGTATCTTATGCTTTCCGTTGTATTTTCCATCCATTTTATCTCCGTGTTTCAGTCTAGATGTTTTTTTCTCTCCTGTATTCTAGATCACAAATATTCTCTCTTTAGCTGTTCCTAACTTTCTTTTAAGCCTATCTGTCCACATTCTTTTTTTAAAAAAAGATTTTACTTGTTTATTTATTTAGATGGGACAGAGGGAGAGGGAGAGAATCTCAAGCAGACTCAGTGCTGAGTGCAGAGCCTGATGTGGGGCTTGATCTGATGGCCCTGAGGTCATGATCTGAGCTGAAATCAAGAGTCGGACACTTAACCGACTGAGCCACCCAGCCGCTCCTCTACCACATTCTTAATTTAGGTAATTTTATTTTTCCAGAATACCAGTTTGATTATTGTTTCATAGATTCTAGTTCTCTGTTGAAATTCTCCATATTATGACTTTTCATGAACATATTCATCACAATTTATTTATTTATTTATTTAATTTATTTATTTTTTTAAAGATTTTATTTATTTATTTGAGAGAGAGAATGAGAGAGAGAGCACATGAGAGGGGGGAGGGTCAGAAGGAGAAGCAGACTCCCTGCCAAGCAGGGAGCCCGATGCGGGACTCGATCCAGGGACTCCAGGATTATGACCTGAGCCAAAGGCAGTCGCTTAACCAACTGAGCCACCCAGGTGCCCAATTAGTTTATTTTTTTCAAGATTTTATTTATTTGATAGCACAAGTAGGCAGAGTGGCAGACAGAAGGGGGCAGGCAGAGGGAGAGGAGAAGTAGGCTCCCTGCTCAGCAGGGATGTGGGGCTCCATCCCAGGACCCTGGGATCATGACCTGAGCTGAAGGCAGACGCTTAACTGACTGGGCCACCCAGGCACCCTCGTCACAATTAGTTTAAATTTCATGTCTAATAATTCATGGGCTTGTTTCTATTTTCTTCTTTTTTTCTTTTTCTTCTATCTTCTCTTTTTCTCTTGGTCCTTTTTTGTTGTGCCTAGTTCATTTTGTTGTTATTGTTGAATGCTTGTCTTTGTGTATGAAAATATTAAGAAATCTCGATACTATCTTCTAGATCAAATTTCCTTTAATATCTGATAGGCATACAGGGGAGGAGGAGATCTTCTTAATGCAGCCAAGAATGAGTTATTTCAGAGCTGCGTTTCAGTCAGATCAATTTCTGATTCAACTTTATGTGTAGGCTTTACTCCTTCAACAGTCCCAACTGTAAATGTGAGGGGACTTACCAGGACCACCACCATGGTAGGAGCATTAATTTTTATCTTACCGGTACCATGGGAATGCCAGTAACATGGTTTACTGAAATTTCTCTCTACTTGTCTTCTCCTCCTGTAGGTGTATGCTAGTTCTAAAATAGTGACTGTCTTGAGGATTAAGATGGCTCAGGCTCTTGGGCTCACTTTTCTATAATATTGGTCAAATCCTGACTTCCCTGGTTGCCCTCAACTTCAGGTTTTGTTTCTATAGTCCCATATGATTGCTGAAAGCTCTGCTCAGTTTCTGTGCTTCATAGTAGCCACTTTATGCTTGACCTCTCAACCTTTTTCCCATGACCCTTTCAAATTGGAAAATTTCTCTAGAGGATGTCAGGCTCACCTCAGTGAGTTTTCTGTTGTCTACAGTCTTGGTCACTTAAGTCTTGAATGCCTTGATACCACTACAGTACTTTCAAATGGATTTTTTTTAATCCAATTTTTTTCCAATTATTTTTTGCAAGTGAATTCTGCTACAAACTAGTCTGTCATAGCTGGAAGTAGTTTATTACATACTTTTTCTAATGAATTTGGTTCCTGATGTTTGTTTATTCAGAATCACAGCTCTGGGATCATATAAGGATCTTAAAGACACCTTGACCTCATCTTGTAGTAGAGACAGCGAGGGCCCTATGATAGAAAGACCCACCCACCAAGGACACACAGCCCATTAATGGCCGTTCCCATATCAGGGACTCTCAGCTTCTAGTCCATTGGCTTTTACACTGCATCACTGATAATGTAGTATTTCTGACTTCTACTCACTTACTGAGGTCATAAACCATGTCTAACCAGCATTCTATAAAATCAACTCAACCTTGACCCAGTTGAATGATGATAGTGCTCTGATGGACTTTATATTATGAAAAAAGAGCTTATATTTTGAAGTTGTTATAACATTGTAAAACTGTGAGCACATCCTTGAAGCTTATCTATGCTACGTAATACACCCACATTTAAAATTAAATTTTCCTCCTTTTGTTAGATTCTACATGTAAAATGATGGGTTTTTTTCAATCTAAAGAGGATAATTCATAAAGAACATTATGCTGTAGAAAAGTATTTATTAACTATAATAGCTTAGCTCTGAGGGTGTGCCAGAGAAGAATAAAATATATATGACTATGGAATCACATACAGAGGGTGCTAAACCAAAGAATATTGTCTGGGACCTCACAATTTACTTTCAGAATGTTTGGATAATCTTAAGTCTTATCTTTCAGTCATGTTGATAACTTCTCTTACAAAGGAAAACTTATTTGTAAATTCAGAGGATCCACTGTATAGTGAACAGAGCTGATTCTGGCTAAAGAGTTTGATCTGGTTTATGGATCCACAGAGGAGCCATTGACAGTTGCTTTACAGTAGCATAGCTTGATTATCTGGTTTCTCATGCTGCACAAGGAAGTTAGAGAGTAGCATCTGCGTTGCCTCAATTTACGTTTTAGTTTTTATGTTAGGAAGATGTTAGAAAACAGGTAATGGAAATATGTAAATAGAAAAAGACATTAATGGGGAATAAATATTGCTTAGTGTTTGACCTCTGTACATATAAAAGCTACTTTAAAGTGGTTTTTGTTTGTTTGTTTTATTTTTAAAATGACAGAGTCTAATTTGTACTTGATGACAGTCCGGGAAAGAATTCTAGTGTTGCTTTGGGCTCTCAGCTTTTCCAGACAAAGTACATTTGTTAGGAAATGTGTGATCCAGGGATTATTACTATTTAATAGTATTGCCAGAGTCATAATTTTATATGCTTGTGACTTTTCTCATCTCTCTCTTTTTCGTTTAGAATGAACGTAACCCCGAAGAGTAACATTTCCAACATTTGCTCTTTTTTTTTTTTTTTTTGTTTTTATTTATTTATTTGACAGAGAGAGACACA